CAATCAAACACAAAAACCCTGAATTCCAAAATTTATAATCCGATTAGTCAAGAGAGGTGGGGATGAATGTTTCCAAAAACTAATGGATTCCTTCCTCTATTTAGAACGTCACTTTGTGTGTTTCCTACGCTATTGTTTTCAATTCCATATTTTATTTCTTTTGTATTTTTTTTTTAAAATGGAAAATCAGAACCAAATATCTAGTTAAAGGTATAAAAGTAATTGTATGTTGAATAAGTGCCTCAGTAGCAAGAAGTGTCTCAACTTGTAAATTGTTCACACTAAAGCGTGTCTGAGTGTAATTGTTTCTTCGTGAATAGAAAAAACTGCCAAATCAATAAGATGAACTTGTCAAGAGAAAATTAAATTTCTAAGTTAGTCTAATATCATCACGTATTATAAAATTGGAAACATCTTGGATATTAAAAAAAAAACTGCAATATTGACAAAACTAAAGACAATTCATGTAAAAGAAATGCTTTTTTCTTGATCACATTTTGGAACTCAAAAAGAGAATTTCATTCTTTTCGACAAGGAATGATGCATCTAATGGAAAACTTGAAGAACATTGAAAAATAAACTTTAAAGACATTCTTAAAACTGTAATTCAAACCAATGATTTGAGAGCATATAGATTTTTTTCTGTAACAATACTGAAGAAGAAAAACCCTTTATATATACACACCATATTCAGCTTTGCTCATATAGGATCTTTCTCTGTCTCTAAAAAGTTCCAACGACTAGACAGATCTTTCGCAATTCCAAAACTTCAGGCGTAGAACCTTCATAAGTATATAACCCGTTTTCCATGGTGCTTAACGGTCGATGAAGGACTTATTCATTAGATCAACAGCGTTGTCCATGAACTGCATTCTCAGGAACAACATAGCGATCAATTGTTAGAATTCCACCAAAGATGATAGAAAAGTCTTGCACAACAGAAAAATAGGTACGAGTTTCATCTATGCACATTTCAATACAAAATAAGATAAAAATTGAACCATTTCTCAGTCGAATTTCTGGGTTAGAACCAAGCTATACCAGAGACCTTTTCAGGGTTTGACTCCTACTATGTGCCACTTGTTGATCCCCGTCATTAGTTTGGACATTATCCTAGGAAACCCACTAACCAAAAGAAGATGACCATCTATGATGTTAATATACCATGAGTTACACTACAGGATACATTGATCTAATCCCCTCTCTAAGAATAACTTCACATCACACACTAGCCTCATGCAAAATGGGCTTTTAGAGTTCAGCTAATTGCCTTAAACAGATACAGATGCAGAAATACTATCCTCTAAAGTACTGGATCATATTGACAGGGAATCATGTAAAAATGGATACATCTGATTCGGACACAAAGCAAAAAGATTTCGGTCTTTACCTTCCCAAGCATTTTCAACTCTTTTCCCACTGGTTCCAAGAATTTAAGATCAACTTCAACTGGCCAGACCTATTCATATAGACCAAACACGAAACTTTTAACCAATGAAACCTCAAAACCATGAGTGAAGAATATAAGAAAAAAGTACTCAAAACATTAGACTTGACAGAGATGACGTTTCCCTTGTAATGCTTTAACAACATGAGGTCAAATTCTCTGCATTAACTCCTTAGGTGCAGATGAAAAAACTTGCACAAAACTACCAAATCAACTAGAACACCTAACAGGGACAGAGAAAGATCATACACAGTCAATTCGGATACGAAAAACCTTGTACTACACACATGAAATGAACAAGAACAACATATAACTTTCATCATTCTCTAACACATTCCAACACTCAACATCATCAGAAAAACTCTAAACTTTTTAAGGCATCTCTTGAAAAGAAGTAACCTTAACACCAAGTAGCCGAAGAGGAGTGACTTGACCAGGAACAACACATTCAGGTCCTGCAGATTCAAGTACAGCTTCCATCGCCAATCCACCTCCCACCGGATTCGGATGCTACACACAGAGAAATCACG